GCATGTTTATACGAATTTATTCACAACTGTGTAACCATGATTCTAATAAGACAATATCAATGGTTCTTTTCTCTACAGGAGTCGGAGCGAGAGCGACGTGATAAGGTGAGTATATTATTGATTACTTTGTACCTTTCAGTTCGAAATCACCTAACCTTCGCCCCGGTAATTGTTGTTAGTCTAGGGAACAAATAAATAAGAGAAAACTGATTTAGCCTACTTAAATGTAATTAGTAGTGACTTGACCAATTTCGTTACCTTGAGTGGTTCAAATCGGACAAGTCCACAATTAAAGCTACTTGCTATAATTAGTTCATAAATAACTGAACAAAATATCTCTGGGAACACAACCAAATTNGTACTCTTCAATTTAACATTAAACCTGTTTTTTCAACATGACTTCTGCCACAATATCCTCATTTTTAATTCGCCGAGTAACTTCGACAAATGATCTTGCAATATTTTGCGATTTTGGTGTTTTAAACACAGCCAGCTTGAGACTGAGCCAAAACGACAAGGCCGGTCACGTGCCCCAAAAAAGAACTCAATCCTGACATCAATGTTGCACTCAGTGTGAAAATTATGTTACATCATTGAAGCCATCGAGCCTCAGTGATTCTTTGCTAAGTTAATTCCCGATAGATACGAATGTGTTACCTCGAAAGTTGATCGTATTTTCTGTGAGTAACAGATAAGGTGCGGATATTTTCTCCATTCCACAAATAACTGTGCTACTTTTTCGAACGCTCACAGTCGGACGATGAGGCGGCCAAAGAAGAGGTAAACGCTTTGTGTCTGCTTGAACTGATCGTTTCAATGTCTACCTAGAATAGAATACATCGTACATGTACTGCTGCATCGGTGTTCGCATTTTGGTACTCATAATATCTGTTGGACATGTTACCCTGGTGTTCACTCTTCATGTCTGTGTGGTGTTTCGTAGTTCGGTGGGTGTATTGCTTGCGTTTTTCCTTACTCGTGTGTTTCGGTTTCACCCTATAACCCCGTCCCCATTCTCCTTTGCAGAGGTTTATTTCATGATCTATCATTACGTTTCTACATATTTGTGCTACTCTACGTTTGTTGCAAACCAGCTTGATCATTTCATTCACATATGTCAAGGGTGCTTGTTTGTTCTATTGGGTTTATTCTCACTCAGATACGATTCTCGTCCACTACACTCCCTGTTTGTGTTGCATGTAGTTGTGTTGGTGTAATGGTCTGTTGTCGCTGTGTGTGTGTGTGTGTGTGTGTGTGATGATCAGGGTCACCCTAGCGTCGTGGAGATGTTTTTTTGAATGTTTCTCTGTGGTGATCTCGCCTATGTGTATACTCTTGCACGACATCCGTGGTGTGATCCAACGCGCAGCCAAGCAGCACGTGCGCGTGTGTGTGGGTGTGTGCGTTATTCGTTGTTCTCTTCGTGTCAGCGCCGCTATTTGACATGTTGAATAGAAGCGAGAGAGGTAGAATGGAGTGCACAGGAAAATTTGCGGTAATCAATCCATATTCTGCTTCTTTTTCTTTTTTTCTCTCAAACATATTATCTGTAACAGTCGGAAAGTGAGGCGGAATCTGAAGAGACTGATGAGGTAACAACATTGGATGTGTTTGTGTGTGTTTGTATGTGTACAGGTGTACGTGTGTGTATGTATATACATGGATTTGCGGTGGATCTTGTACAATATACCGCTTGAGAGTTTTCAAGTTGGATTTTACCCACGCGTCAAAATTTTTCATCCTTCTTGTTTGTGTGTGTGTATTCGTGTATGCCTATGGGTCCAAACGCGCTCAAACTGACCCAGTTAAATGTGTAAACTTTTCCGAGAATGGGTGCTAGATTTATCGGATCTGGGTGTGAAACAGTTATTTTAAAAGTGGCATGTTGTTCCGTGTTGAAGGCACTAAATGTTTCCGAGTTGTCAACCAACCACCGACCGCATGTAAGATTGCTTTGGTGTTCTTCTTGAAACCAATAATTGTCTAACATCTGTTATGTAATTGCATTGTATTTTGATTAACAACGATATTATTGGTTTATCAGATATATGTGTAAATTAATTACGTATTTCTTCGATTGGTAATTGGTTCTTTTACGGAGCTAAAAAATATATTAGTATAATTTGATTGAATAATGAGCCCTTCCAGAATATCCACTGCTCGTAAAACCGTTTTGTGACATCGGTCGTACTTCGGCAGGTGGAAGATGACAAAGCAGAACAAGCGGCTGCTGAAGCCCAGAAATTGCAGCAGCAGCAGGAGGTAACTGTTTCATTCACTCATCCCACTGGATGCTTCTCGTGTTCATTCATGGCTTCGATAGAGCAGCAGCATCAGGCGTGACCGTGTTATCGCTTCTCACATCTCTCATCTCTCCGGGTGTTCTCATGTCTTGTGATCGATGTCCTATCGCACAGAGCGGCTTAATTATGCATCACCGTTTCACTATAACACTTAGAATAACCATCAAACATTTTTTTGCTAAGCGAACAATTTTCGTTGATTTCAGTTGTGTCCGTTTTGTTTGAGCATTGTCTACTCACCCATCGTCCACTGTTTGTTCAGTTATGGGATACTCCAACTAGACTTAGACTAGATGCTCTCGTTAGATCTCTATTTTTGTTTTCAGTTCGTTTGGTTTTGTTCATTCGTACCGATGAACTGGGTGTGAATCAATACGAAGACTGAATGTTTCCTTTTTAAAAAATCCACTGCCACGTTTTTCATCATTGAAATAAGCTTGTTGTGTTTCAGTAGATACTCAGCGATCAAATACTTGTTTTTCCAGCCGACTATCCTTCTAGTAAAAAAGGGTCTACTGTTCTATGTGGTTTACAAAGTCAGAGGTGCAAATTAGGACAGGTTTCAAAGGAAACAGCAATATTGATGATGAGTGGCATCCTCAGTCAATGATCAAAAGGACCTTTCCGTCAGGGATTCGAGATCCATTCTTACTGTTCTAATTCAGACGGTAATTGTGTAGTTTGACTAACTGACTTGTGTTTGCGTAAAAAAACAGACAAATCTATTGGATGAGTATAATCCTTTTCATTCATATGAGATTTTCGATTCTGGTAATCCGTGAGCAAAATTTTATCCCAGATGTAGTCATCCTATGGGTCAAAACAGAAGAAAAACGGATAACATCGTCGTAATCCGGTTGTTATTTGCATCACTATAATTTAAAGATTCGCCTTAGCCCATGCAGTTTTGAGATCAGAGACATGAAATTCGTTAATAACGCTTCTCTGTTAGATTCTTTTATCTTCTTCATGTATTCAGCATAAATCAGATCTAGGCGTTGAATGATAAGAGGAGATTCATTTTCTACACAAATGATCTATTGTCACAAAGATGATTATTCCACAGGTGATGGGGAATAGTGACACATACTGGGTGTAACAAGCAAACATCGTTTTGTTTGTCAACGTTATCGCTTCCTATGAGGAGAACAGAATCTAGCCATTGGTTGTTTCCCCTGGAAGAATTCAAATCTACATTCCCCCTAAGTACTATTCAGTCATGAATACGAGCAAGGAACTCTACCAGCTTAAATCATCTGTTAGATTCAAAGCTTTCCAGTGGCTTTCTACCGGGAAGTGACGGTTTTCACTACTGTGAATGGTTCTTTATAGATTGAACCATTTCGTGCAATGCAGATCTACGTTTTCAAGGTTATGGAAGTCGCGAACTTGGTCTGAACACCCGCATTTGAAAAAAACAGTACGGAGGAATGGGATCAAGGGTTAATTTGCATGCAATTTAGTGCTTGAAGCCCTCCGGTGCAATGCATTTTTACGTATAACCTTTAATCTTTGGATACATTTAAATTAACGCTATCCACTGATCTCTATTTAAATGTAACAAACGGCTTGTGGAATTGTATTTAAAAGCTGGTGTAAAGTTGCGTGTTACAGTAGCACCTTGCGAATATTTTCAGTTAACTGTTTGTACCCTAGACCAAACAAGCCCCCCAATTTAAACTGCTCTAATACAGCATACCGTATGAATGCGTTTGCAAGCATTGTAGTATGATTTACCCATAGTCCCAGCAAGAAAATTTTTTTCATAAGTTTCCACACGGGAACATCTTGTGTTCATTTTGAATGTTTCCGACCGGAAATCTTTTGGTTTGTAACGGTATATTTTCATTTATTCAAGCAGTATGCTGAAATAAATTAAATATGTGTATTTTCTGTTCAGTCATACTAAAAAATAAAGTTATACCATTTTCACTACTCTCAATAAACGGATATGTGCTTGCGAATCTGTTGCCTGTTGCCTATTCATCAATCATGTTATTTGTTTTAGACAAATGTAAGAATTCCCATCTGGTCAGGTGACCAAAAAAACGAGAAACTGATTGTTCTGTATTGTGCTTGCCATAACAAAGCTTATGTTCCGTTCGCCAGTGGTTAACCTGGAAGAGATAGCTTTTGTTGTTTGGAATGAGTGCAATCCGAACTTTAACTTTGCGTCTGTAGCACCTCGGGTGATTTCGTGTATTAGTCTACGTACTGTGTACAACTATAACCCTTTTCTTGTGTGTCTCGATTGTACTGTGTAACAAATAGATGGGTGAATGACCATCCAGTTCCTAATCTCTTAGCCTTTGGCGACATCGAATTCATTTTTCCACACTCTTGCTAATTCCCTCTCTCTCTTNTTCTACCTGTTCTCTATTCACAGGAAGAACGAAAACGTCGAGAAGAAGAGGCAAGGCGCGAAGAGGTCGGTGCATGTTTTGCATGCTTTGTTTTCACGGAATGCGAGTCGAACTTATTACGCAAAATAGGTCCAGAATAAATGTCATGCTTGCCTTATTCACATACTCTAACGAGAACAGGAAACCAGGAACTGAGCGAAAAATGCACATTCATCCAGTCCCCTTTTCTGGTTCAGTATCAACTTAGATCGGCCTCTGTGTTTCGAATGCAGTCGAAGCGTGCACTAAGCACCAGATGGTGTACGCATAGTGATTTTACACAATCAAATTGCATCCAGCTTGCGTATACTTATTTAGATATCTATATACAGCCTCAGAAACAAAAGTGCTCAACTCCTGCAATTTCATAGAGCTGGCATCCTATTACCACAGTGGATGAGGGGAAGGTAATCCCCGATACATGCCATGGATTGAAGGGTATAGCTAATCCTCTGAGAATGAAGAATTGATGGACTGAAACTTTTAAGCAAACGTCTGCAAACAATTTTACGTATAGCGTAAAAGATCTCGTGGATGTCAGCGGTTGCTCGTGTCCAGATTCTCTACAAACGCATCAATGCCTGAACGATTTTCTGCTTGGCTCGTTTCATTGGAAAACTGCGGATGGAAAAATACGAGTGACAGCAACAGAGAACGAGGGAAAAGCTCAGACAGAAGACGGAAGAGACACTAAGTTTTAGCCGGCTCCTTAGATTGTTTGGCCTGTTAGCTGCACTGTATGCTGCATTGTGCATGGTAGAAGTTACACACATAGATACTATTTACGGATTGGTGTCTAGCACGTTGAAACTTTGTTCGTTCTTGGCAATGATGTGAATATTACCCTAGTTAGATTTATTTTTCTCTTTCAATCTCTCCCTACTGAGATTGCTACTAGATTAAACACGTTTCGTGCACGTTTTCGCGTAGGTGTTCCACCATAGGTTTGTGTTTGGAGAGAATTCCCCTAGGGGGATTCCCTATCTCACACACATGGGACTTACACCAGATATGAAATAAATAGAATCAATTGTACTTGGCTGGTAGTAATTTATTTCGCTGATTGTTCTTTATTGGGACATGAACGCGCATAACCTGAACTTCCACAGCCACCCTCCAAAACAGCCAAGTAGCTGCATGTATCTGTTCACCTTCTCACTTGTGTACGCAGGCCCTGTGCCTCATTTACCTGTTTATTTTCATGATTGCATACCCCAATGACTGGTAGTATTGACAAGATGTAAATTCTGGTCCTTAATACTGAGTTGTACTACTCCATTACAGGTTGCTCAAGAGAGACAGCGCAAACAGCAAGTGAGTCCCCAATCGAAAGATTTTCCAGTCTATTTGTTGGCTACTCATGAGTAACACCGTTCTGTTATGTTATGATAAGTAATAATTGGAATCTGTCAAGATGATTGTCTACTGCACCCGTGCGTGATTCAGTGTGACGTTTAAACTTCCTCGTTCATTAACTTTCAACAGGAGAAACAACGTCAAGAGGCTGAGGCCTCCAAGAAACAACGCAAACCTGGACAAAAACGACGAGGTCTGGGTGGTTTGTCCAAAGAAAAGAAACGCATGCTCAAGGTAATGTTTCAGCAATTGAAATGTATTTGGCTCGTGTGCTACCGGTGGGCTAATAAATTTTCGACATTATTACCTTCCTGTGATGGTCTGTTTAGTGGGGTTTAGAGCCCAATCAGTTTGGGTTGATTGTTGATCAGAAAGCTTTACCAATCTTTTATAATTCTAATGCTTCATTCTGTTTACTATTACAAATACAACATTCTCCTAGTATTTTCATACTTTATTGTAAACTGAGAATGTAACTGAACTTATTCGTTGGAGCAAACCAAATCATTTCGGTTATTTCATTCAAGTCATTTTGAACCGTTTGTTTTCTGGTCTTTTTAATTAAATTGTATTGTGAATGATTTTGTGTTTACGTTCTGCAATCTTCAAGCAATTGATCATGCAAAAAGCCGCCGAAATCATGAAAGCTGAGCGCAAGAAGGAGCAGGAGAAACGGGATGAATACGTGCGAAGCAAGATTGGCACGCTCAACTTGGAAGGCCTCAGCGAGAGTAAGTTTTGTAATTTGTAACACTGGGTATTTGCTGTGTTGATTGACTCATGATGAACCACTGATTGTACACTATACAGTCACCTGTGATTAGTTAAGCCAACTAAGTAAGCGGAGAAAAGCCAATTTTTGTGATGACCAGTCAAAATATTTTATGGGATCTTTTGAGAAACATTATTTTTCTTTCGGTTTCCCGTAAAAGTAATTTAAGTACATGCTCTGAAAGATGCTGGTTAATCATTCCATTTTCTATTGTTATCATTTCTATAGATGAACTAAGAAGCAAAGTCAGTCAGCTACACGAACAATTGCGGCAATTGGAGGGTGAAAAGTACGACTGGGAGGAGAAATTGCGCCGGCAGGATGTTGAAGTGAGGACTGAATGTGGTTTTCTCTCTCTCGTGGTTTCTCCTTCCTACGGCATATCGTCTATGTATCAAATAATCATCGACTTAGAACAAATCATACTTTCATATCATCAGAACAAAATTGTGTACATTAGGTAACTTCCGCATCTGAAATTGTGACGTGATATCCGGAATATAGTTTGTGCGCGTGTGCAAATGCACCACTAGTCCAATTCGGGTCTGACTGGGAACAGTCAACGAAGGGCTTTGATCACTTTCAAACACCGCATATGTAGATCATTCAGTCCGTCCAGGGATACAATCATATCCAAACCAGTTAGGATGAAACTGAGAATTTTTTAAACAAAGTGCGGCACTGACTGGGATGTAAATCCGACAGAACTTAGGCGTTCTCTCACATAGAACTGAGGACGTAGAGTGATCAGTCAGGTTTCCATTATACAGTACATTTCTGGTTTGTTATTATATGAAATATTTAAGCTAATTTGTTCATAACAATTGATTAAGCTTCATTTAAAATCTACAACTGTGTTCACAATATAATCGAATACAAACTATTATCAAAATTTTCCCAATATATGATCCAACAGTCTATCGTGGTTACTATTCCATCGAATTTACTCGCATATGGTGATACTTTGAGGTTTTCCATCAAGAATACTAGTAATAAAACCTAAATAAGATAGTATTTACGACACCACGGCGCGGTAGAAGAGAAACCGAAAACAACATTCGTTAACCGGGTTTCATTCAGTCCCTAGAATATGCACCACAAAGAAATGGAACCTAGTTTTCATAAAGATGACAACTCAGTAGAGTCTCGTCATTGCTTGGTACAAGTTCGCGCAATTAAAATCTCGCTTTTCTGTTCACGCACTCACAGATCATCGAAATGACCGTGAAAGCCAACGACAACAAGGGCAAATTGTGAGTTCCTTGTGACTGATAGTATGTGCAATCATCAATCGCCGCCTTTGAAGTGCATGTCGCACCACTTATTTTCTGTTCTCGATTGTAAATGTTTGGTTGGCTTTCGTCGCTCATTCATTCATCCATCTTCCCTTTTTTTATTGTTGTACAGCGTTAAACCGGTCCTCAAAAAGGTGTCCAAGACCGAAAGCCATATGGCTCGTTTCGAAAAGAAGGAAACCGGGCATTCGCTCTCCTCGTTCCGGAACCAGCTCAAATCCACCGGACACAGCAAATACGCCCTCGAAGAGAAGGATGAAACTGGCGGTGTGAGTATAGAACGTTTCTGTTCCCTAATTATATTTGTCTGTGGATCTCGGTATTCGCTTTTGCTGAAACCACTTTGTCAAAGCGCAGTATTCATTGGTTTCAGCTACTCGTTTAACTTGGTCTCACATTTTGATCGTTCAGCATATGCAACTGAGAAAATACTGCTCTTGTGTTCCTCTCAAGCAGCTACAGTATATCGATCATTCTCCTGTCACAAGGTTCGGTTTAACGACGGAAAAAATGGAGCACATGTCCTGTTAAATGTGCAGTTCTATGATCCGTTTGCTTGTTTATCTTTTTCGAGTTTGATGAGCCTGTATCAATGGTTCAATACAACAAGTACTCTCAAGTCCAGTGTCCTAACTCCTCCCTTATGACCCAGTAAGGGTATTGTTTACTTGTCTATCAGTCGAATAGCGCAGTTCTAATCGGTTCATGTGACCGTGTTAGCAGTCATTTTAAGCTGTTCAATTTTTGTGCGAACGGATCACATGACTTTTCGTCAAGTTTCGATGGGAAGTTTTTTTCCGTAAAACAACATCTTGAAAGCCGGGACATAGTAATACAGACGGTTTGGATGAAAAATACCCTCAATACCCAAAAGCATCTTAAGACCATTCAGTGGACACTGAAATTGAACCTTATATTGTTTTATTTCGCAAAACGATCTTCGAGTTTGATTAATTTGGAATTTGGTCATCCATTGATTCCCTTTTTGTGCATTTCAGAAAGCTGACTGGCGTGATCAGCTCAAACCGAAAGAAGAGGAGAGTGCTGCTCCAGCCCAGTAGGACGATCATCCTTCGAAATCTCAAACATTCATTCACTCGAACATGCACACTCTTGCTGTCCTTCATAATGCCCCCTGTTTCTTTCTTTTTGCACCCAGTTTGTTTCTCTTTCTTCGTTCGACACCGAATTATCTCTCTCTATCACGCGCTCTCTCCCTGTCTTTGTTATAAATAATCCGTTTTACATTCAATCATGTTCCTCCAGATGGGGTTGTACACAAGATCTAATCTGTGTTTCGACTTACGGACACTGCTTGTCTGTCGTGAATCGTCTTTGCATTTCATACTCCCGGGGAGGCTGACGACGGAGAGGGGATACGCCAGTCATTGCTTACCTTTCGCGGATACCGACAGATCATGCTCAGTCACTTCAACAAAACCGGAAGAAATATTGTTTCGTGTGTTTTCAGCATCTGTGCTTATGTCAGTTACTGGTTTCTTTTCAAATGCGTGCTAACAGGTCATAGGGTTGATAAAGAGCGCTATTTAGATTTCTATGACTGTCTATCTAGTCAGCCACACAGATAGTGACTTTTTATTTGATATCATGGATTGTTGATGCGAACGCGCTCATATCATCATGTGCAATCATGTGCAACGCACACAGGCAACCGAAACACAACACAGTTTGCAAGTTAAGTAACGACGGCTGTTTCTTCTGCTTGTCTGTGACATTGTTTTCATTGCCCACCTCCTCCACCTAATGTGTCCTTTTGCCCAACCCAACCCCTGCCTCTCAAAATTTGGAAGTGAGCACACCACGACAGAATCCGGTACCGTGTAGCTTTGAGAGGGTCATAAACATATGCTGTTTAACAAGCCTAATGTTCTCACTCTCTTGCTACTTTGGGGCGGGGTCGGTTTTGATCATTTGGGGAATGGCGTGTGATTCAATGAACCATTTCAGTCCAATATTCATGAGATAATCCATCGCTTTGGACTGAACTGATTGCTTAAGGAATTTTCCAAGTTTAATCCATCAGATCCAGGAGATTGCTTCGAAAACAGCGGTTGATAATGAGGTACAGTAACAGCAAGTAATGACATTTTACTTATAACATGACAAATCACAGAATATACCCCCTTAAACGATGTTCAAAGTTTGTCAATTACATTATGGTAGGATTGGCCATTTTAAGGAAATGATGTTTACAGTGTAGTTTGAACATGACATAAAAACTGAACCCTTGTACTACAACAATGGGGGCTGAAAGGGAAGGTGTTTTGGCGAATGCCAAACTTGTCGAGAGAAGAACGCGCGAACGAAAAGCTCATACAGCTGTTTGAAGCACGTCAGATATCACTTGAAGTGCACAACTCCGGGTCCTACTAACGGTTAAGTGAACTGGGACCAAGTTTAGAATATGCACCAGATCAGAAGCCTTACCATTATTACTTTTTGGTGGTAATCGAATTTTGTTCATGATGGGTAAAACAGAGTACGAAAATGTAGACTCGTCATAGCGCGTGCTAGGCTTGTGCCCCGCGAGTGACTTGAACCGTGAATCTTCGGGATGAAGTCAAAACCGTCACAACTGAGCGATGATGTCCAAGAAGTTGAGGTATTTCTTTTATTTGAAACACAACTTCATTATGTTTGCTTTTTAGTCTCAGAGGGTAAAGACTTGATTCCAAACCACGGAATGACTTTAGCCCAAGGTAATCAACCGTTTAGTTGAAGAGTTAGGGTTTTGACCAGTATTCCAAAGGATCACGGCTTGAATTCAAGTCGAATTATAAAAATACTGCACAATACGGATGAGTTCGAACAAGGAAGAAAAAGTGATCGAAGACTCCCTGTCCGCCATCAAATCACTTCATCGTATATCTGATTTTAGGTGTTAATTTGCGCACAAATCGTGTATTGGAAGAAGTAATCACGATGGATATAATCGGTTTTCCCGAACTATCCCGACCATCGTAGCACCGTAAGGTAGGGCAAGCACTTTTCTAAAAGGGAAAAATCCATTTTGAACTGGGGATTGAAAGAGGCATTCCTCTGTTAACTGTTTCCTGAGGTTAGTTTTTTAACCGAATTACTTGGGGTTGATGATGTAAGATAAGTGTTGATGCTGATTTTAGTAATTTGCAATTATTTAGATGTCAAAGTCAAGATTTTATGATCAAAAGGCTTACAAGCTGTTGCCTTAATTGTACCTCCGTTTTATGGCGTGGATGAATTAATTTACCGGGTAAAAGGAATGATAATTGTTGTACTCAGTCTTAGGTATGATAACTGTCATACAGTTTCGCTGTTCCATATCCTTTTATGGGTGGACAAATGTTAGATATACCATTGACTCTCTGCCGGGATTTGGTACTTTGTTTTTTTTCATTTCTATTTTCCCCTTTCTTTTCGGGAAGTGGGAAGTGGTCAATCAACGGGATTCCATACAACACATAGGGGGGGGGGAAGTCAGACGGTGGATTCGAACTCAAGTCCTCCGGGGTGACAATTTAATGACGTTATCACCGGGCCAGCACTGCCCAGGGAAAGATTAGCTATCAGGGCACATGCAACACAAGGGGATGGAAATTCCAAATAATGCGAAATATGACGTTATAAGGTTGACTTCGGCATTTTGCTCCACATTCTACAGCACTGACTTAAATAACTGTTCCCTGAGTTAGATGTTGGGCGATAGATTAAGCAGCAACACTATTTGATACACTGAAATAAGTCTCCTTTGATTCGGTTAAAGTGCGTGAAAATACAACTTCAATTATTGCTGTCTTTCAATGCGCGAGTTGGAGTACAATCCCTTGAGTGTTTTGGTGCCTATACTTTGTGGACGTTCCAAAACCCTGCGGCTGACTTGGATTCCAGTCTATAGAATTAGGTACTCACTTTATGGTCGAATATACACTGGAGATAGAACGCGGAACAAATCTGGCTTGAATATGTCAAAGACAAGAATCTTCAGTGGATCGGCATGTCCTAAATGACGACACCGAGATCTTTCTCATTCAAGGCATGCGGCAGCTGTTGATGTCCGAGAAAGTGTGGGAAAAATTTATTTGTTGTATTGATCTGACCATAAGTTTTGGTGCATTGAATGCAATGTCATTCTCAACTGACCATTGAAGATCTTCGCAGAATGTTCTCTGAAGTGCTAGTGAGACCTCAGGTTTGGGCATTGAATTCCATATTTTCGAATTATATGTAAACATTATTATTGGTTGTTCCAGGATTTTCGATCGATCGTTACCAAAGACGATAAAATGATGAGGATCAAGTTTGGATCCCTGGGGAACCCTGAAAGCAACGTTGATGGGACCCAGATACTGAATCAGAAACCCTAACTATCATCATCTGCAATAAAGGACTCCAAGACTTTGGATCTCATCGGTATGACAATGAAAGAATGATACTTAGTCAAGTCACTGTGAGCACCGCCTTGTATATAGGTGATATTACTCCTTGTATTCATGACTATCGCGGGAAAGTGTAATCAACCGCAAATTGCAGTAATTCACTAAATGGCACGACTACGCAACTTAAAAGAGTGATTTGGACTTCTGAATACGTTATCTACACCGGAAGATAATTTCTTTTCCAAAGTCTATAGTTCCGATTACATTTATTCATTGAAAACAATAGCTGTGGTTGTTGCTGAATGTGGAAGGTGATCCGGCGTTATCAGGTGCAATGAATACTTGAGCAAATTGCCTTTTTGTGCATTTCAGGTACCACCTTTGTTGTGGATCAATCACTTCTTGTCAAGCTCAGCGCTGGGCACAGAATTTACTTTTCGAGAGACGTTTTCATGTTTTACACAACACGTTTAAACTTTATCTAAAGCACCACCTTTCTTTGGTACACCAACTGGTCCTCTCGCACCAACTTGGTGCGGTGCTTTCGCAGTAGACAGTGAGTATTCCATGTACCGCTGCAAGAGATACATCCGTGTGCACTCCAGGAGAAATTCCTGTTTAAAACCCATTTTTTCTTTCGACTACAAATCGTTCATTTTTCACCGCTTGGACGAATACTGTACATGGGGATCAAACTGGTCGTTGGGGAAATCCGTTGGATGACTTGTGTCAGGATTATTAGGTTTGTGCAATCAATGCACGCACAAGTGTTATGTGTAGAAATTCGCGATGAAGATTTTTGGCAAATGTGGTCAAACAACTATAGATCGTAGACAGTTTACCATCACGGTGTATTGGTAGAACACTGAAAAATACCCGTGGATTGCACCAAGAAGTCAATTTGGCAAACAAGCTCGTTTTTGGTGCCTCATTTGCTAGCCAAATACAGCACTCTTTTATAAGTCAGAAAATCACATAATTCAAGGAAATAGAATAAGCGCAAATAATGTCTGTTTGTATGCATGTGTATGGATACCACTGGTAATACAGTAAGGGGTTTATGAGAGTTCAAATCATTCTGCAAATGTCATTTGTACTGTCGAATGAATCAAACACACAAACGATTTGAAACTCATTTGATAACTGGCTTTATGTCACTCCAGCNGGGGGGGGGGGGAGGGGTTGTTCAACCGAATCGCGAACGCTTCGGCTGTTGACAGTAAGCGATGCTTGACCTGCTTCGACCTCACCCCGGGTGATCGTATAGATGAGCCTGACCGCTTTACTCATTCTGACACCACGTTCGGTTTCGACGAAATGCGCCGTGATCGCCGTCCCCTGGGTCTCGTCAATCCGCGACTAAGCCAGCTGGGGTGGTGTTCTCGAATGCGTTCGGCGAAGCGGCGAGTGGTACGACCAACTTAAGTGGTTCCACAGGAACACACGAAGAAGAAGAAGAAGTAGAAGTCATCCCCACCATCCATTCCTTTTTGTTAAGAGAATGGCTAAGATCGACGATGACTAATTGGCTGCAAACCTGGTTTCTTCATATGATTTTAAAGTTGATGTGGTTCGATAAACTATGTGAATTGCTGCCAGGGAGGTAGGTAGGTAGATAGGTCACTGATTTAGTCAAATTTGGGAAACTGAGGGAAATGCGTGTGGTGCGATGACAGGATATGATA